TGCTTAGCAATCAGTTTAATTTTAGTAAACGGAATTGTGAATCAGATCCCTCACATCCATCGTCGTTTATCACCGAGGAATCATCAGTAGGACAAGTATCCACAAGATCCCCGTTGGATCCAAAACTGTCTGAGAAAAATCTATAATATCGTCCTCTGAATCCATGTCTATCATTTGTTTTTGGCTTAATTTCTTAGCCTCAGCTCGAGTCACAGCACACAAGCGAAACAAATCGGGATTCTCCTCAACGACATAATCATACTTAGATGAAACAGTGATCGGCTCACTAACCATTTAAGGTTCGGCAACAACTTTTTCCCCAGCCAAATCGTTTCCCAACAACAATGATACACCCTTAATTGGCAGAGTAGGTCTTACTCCAACCACAAGTGGTCCCGAAATTAGATCTGATGCTAAGTAAATGTTATGAAGAGGAACATTAACACATCCACCCTCAATACCCTGAGCAATAACAGACTCACTAGTGGCAGAACTCGAATCTAATGGCAATATATCTTTTATTTAACAACAATGATAGAGTCGCCCTGGTATCATGTAGAATACGTATGGGTATGGGATTGCCAGTGTCATTTCCCAAAGACACAGAACCAATAGACACAAAAGGTCTAAATTCATCTCTGATTACATCAGCCATTATATCAGTGGCCATATCAACAACATCAGGTGATCTGGTGAAACTACATCCATATGTGGACACCAACGCACTGGGTATTGCCTCTTTTTCTTTTTTCAAACACCAACAAGCGGTCATAAAATGACCAGATGTTTTACAAAAAGGACAGACAGGCCTTGATTGTTTTAAAGAAGTTTTATTCTGATTGTCAAAAGATTTCAAACTAGAGGAGCTGGATTTTTTTAGAAGAATCCTAAACTTTAGTGAATTGAACATATACAGGGTTTTATTGAGATGGTAGGAATTTATTTTTATGAAAAGTGGTTTTATGTGTTAAAGTGTAATCATCGGAAAGAGCGGCTGCTTCCTGTAGTGTTTCAAATTTCTTTTCATCTAAGTAAGTTTGAGGTCGTCACGTGCACATTGTTTAAATTCCTCAATTAGACGTAACTGTCTTAGTTTGTCGAATCTGTTGCCATTACGCATAGAATTGCACCATCGATCAAAATAAACCTCTTTTTCGTAGGCAAATTCCATATAAGTTTGATTATCTTGTTTGCGATAACCTCGAAACTTTTGGTGATACGCCTCCGGTACTAACTCGTATGCTTTGAGAATAGCTGCTTTAACCTTATCATAATTCGCACAATCTTCTAGAGAGAGAGAGCGGCATAAGCTTTTTATGCTTTACCAGTTAAGAGACTTTGTAATAATAAGTACCATTTTTTGGTGGGCCATTCCATGGTTTGGGCAACCTTCTCAAAATATTGGAAATATTTATCAACTTCATTTTTATTGAACGGTGGTACTTTAACATATCAGTGTTGAGTCTAATTTCCATTTTTTTAGCCTAATTTCTTTTTCGGCTTTGATGCTAGCTTTTTTGGCCTCGAGACGTTTATTTTCTCTTCCAGCTTCAATACGAGCTTGTTCTTTCTCTTTCTCGGCTTTGATTCGAGCCTGCTCGGCTTCGAGACGTTTATTTTCTCTTTCAGCTTTAATACGAGTTTCAGTTTTAGCTGTATCTCTAATTTATCTTTATCACCCAACCCCGATTGTCTAGTAGGGACACTAGAGTATTCCTCTAACGCTTCCTCAGGCAACAAATCATCGTCGACTAGTATTTCGATAATACGCTTTTTTGAGTTAATTTTTTTTCTCATTGATCTTTTAACTTCTAGTTATAAAACTTTGGCAATTTCGAGCAATTCATTTTTGTTATATTTTTCTAGTTGTTTTAGGGAAGGTGATACAAGAAAATCTTGATAATCAGACATGATCAAATCTTGTTGATACTGATAGATATAAATTTAATTGTGATTTAAATTTTAATTTAGATCGAACTTTGTCACTGATTCAGATCTCGGACACGAGCCCCCAATTTATTATTATTATTACGTATTGGAATTTCAAATGGTCTGAAATTAAGTTAACTGATGATTTAGATTTAGTAGTTAAATTGTACTTTGGATTTAGTATTTAAATAAATGCTGATATATAGTCAGTTTGTTATATTTGCCAACAAGATTGATACATACAGTTTTCTTTTTTAACACAAATACGTTTTAATATGCACACAACAATACAATTTACAATAACAGCTATAAAACTTTCTACTTTTATAAAAAAATCTCTACTGATTCATTTACAAGTTTACCACTAGAGAACAGAGTGTAGATAACCTATCGTGCAGTTTGCAATAAAATAAACAAACCTATGGCTCAATGGTAAGTCTGTAGGCATTTAATGATAAAAGTCGGGTTTGACACTCGCGATGAGCACAGCACAGATAATACACTGTCTAGTTTTGTGTTTGATAACCAATAAAAACAAATAAATAAAAATACGATTTCATTAGTAATTTTAAAATATTCTCCCACAGCTGAGAAAGTAATTTTTTTTTTGCAATTCAGCTATTGCTTTATTATATTTTCATGCTAGTATTTGATTAATGAACCTAATGTTTAGACTTATTTGATTTTTTTAGCACCTGGTTATCTGG